AGCCAGCATTCGATGTGAAGGACATGTTGCAAAGACATACCATCGAAGTCGGGCCGTGGAACGGAGGTGCAGAGAAACTGTCTACTAGTCTACTTTTTCCACATCTCAGTTCAAATGCTGTGCATGTAGATGCCTCGCCTGATGCTAATCACTGTCCTGCTAATGTCTCTCGCAGATATGGAGTACGATTCGGATGACATAACGACCAATAACTTTGAAGTATTGGCCCCCTACTGCAATCGGTTTCAACTCTCACCACCCCACAGACATGGTAAGAAAACAACACTTATGCACTATAATATCTAAGTCTAACTCCACGGTCCATCACACTCATGTCCCCCGTGTCTCCTCTTCTCTCTCTTCCATATGACCTTCCAGATTATTCCGAAAACATTCTTGAGGTAAGAATCTTTTTTTTTTCCTCTCAACAGCAGGTGCCTGCATGAGTTATCTATGACTAATTATGAAGGATCGCGAATGACAGGATTGGACACTAATGAAATGGCCGTTCTCTTTATCTTGCAGAATTTCCAACACTATTTGGATCAGCAAGACATGAGTTTAAGCAGCCTGTTTACCGACCAGTCTTCATCAGGTAAGCGTCGCCTCCTTGGTGATCAGAATTTACCGTTTTAAACAAGAGGAACTCAGGGAATGCTGTGGACGTTAGCTTTGGAATTGACAGGATTAAGGACATTTTTAAGTTGGTAGTAAACAATGGCTTTTGTAGGTATGCGAGTTTAAAGTTCACGACTTTCCAATCGACCAGATTAGATTATAATATGTGTATACCAAGAGTGAAGTTGTCCTGCAGTTCCTAACCCCACATCCCCTCCGTTTGTTCACAGATGAAACAGACGAAAATGCCAACTACACAATTTTGGACAATGTTCAACCAAGTCTCACAGTAAACCCCTGGTCAGACATTTTCTAGCTGTGTGCTATCAGTACACAGCAGTGCTTTTAGCACTTCGGACTTAAAAAAAAAAAAAGCTGCTCCTGTCTGTTGTATCCTCTCATCACCTCATTCCACCGGCGTGTAGGAATTAGCATCCGGCTCGACCGCAGGTGGCACCAGTTCCAGAATCCTTCCTCATCTCACCCCTCCTTGACATGAAGTTTTGATGGCGAAAGGGATCGCCGCTCCGTGCCTTATTCAAGCTCTTTGAGATGTTCTACAGTAACAGAAGCGGGTGACCCTCAATCAGGGTTGATTGTACACATTTGTACATGTTGTCAATATAAATCACGTCTTTTTCCGTTTTCAGCAAATAGGCTATGTTTAGTTAGATTTCATTAACATACAGCATATACTTATCAGCCACTTGTAATGTCACCTCTCCCTAAATTTGCACTTAGTTTGCTTACGGCAATGGAACTATTTGTAAATAATGTTGTTGTTGTTGTTTTTTTGAGTTGTCATAAATAAAGTTTATTATCTCAATGAGAACGACGCCTTGAATGATGTTATTCAATACAGCTGTTTGGGGGTTCAATCACTGACACAAACAACACGATTAGTTCAGGTCAAAAATGTTTTTGGAAGGTGTAAAAATAACTTATTTAACTTTTTTGAATGTTACATTAGAACTAGAAACAGTATATTTTAGTATTAGATCAACTTGTGAAACCAGGTCCTTTTGATCATTATTTACTGCAGTAATAGTAATAGTTATGAGGAAATACTATATGTGAACAATTAACCCGGCTGTTTTCCCAGTTTAGTATCAGATGCGGGATTTTTTTTAACAATACGATATTTGTGCAGTAAAAAAAAAGTCTGAAATGCACTCCATGATAATTACGTATTTCAAATGTAAAATGAGTTTAAGAAAAAAAAAATTTTTAAACTTAGTAATCAAGGTTAAAGCTCAAGTGTTTATCGGGTTTTACATTTTTGAACTTTTAGTTATTTTGGCTACCATCAAAGCTATTCCTGGAACAAACTTTAATTTTCCTTGCGTCGTCTTTGTGATGATACGGTTTTACTGCTATGGTTTATATCAAGCGTCCATAAAATCCCATTATGGTCCTTGGTTATTTACTGTACAAAGTACAGGTGTATGTGATGATGCAACTTTTTGCACACTAACAAGTTGTACAATCAATGATAACTTACGTAGCTTGTTTGTATACGCTATGAATAAAACCATAAAGTTCCTTATAAAGGAAACAAATATGTGCATTGTGTCAATGTTGTAAAATCAATTTTTATGTGAAGTAACTCACACTTGTGGAAAAAAAAAATACAGATTGCCAGTTTTGTAAAGGGCAAAAGATTTGAATACTTGACTCGCTGATAAAGATCTCGGTCAAAACAACAGTACAGTGTGTAAATCAGGTTACAGAAACTCAGAAAAAGTTTTCTGAAGATTTTATTAACCATTTGTTCAGTTAGTACCATTAAATGTGTTAGTCTAATTAACAGTTTTAAAAAACAATGACAAGACCTGGGAAAGATGTGGCAATCAGGAAAAGACCACAATTGGAACGGGGGTGTCAAACTCATTTTCACCGAGGGCCACATCAGCAATACAGTTCCCCTTGAAGGGCTGGTTGTAAAGGGAAGACTGTATAGATCAGGGGTTCCCAACCCCTGGTTGGTGGACCAGAATGAGTCCATAGGTCATTTGGTACTGAGGTTCCCAACCCCTGGTTGGTGGACCAGAACGAGTGCATAGGTCATTTGGTACTGAGGCGCATTTTTTACTAATTTACTTCATTCAAAGAAAATCCTGTCCGATCCATTTACTTTCTTTATTTAAAGATAATCTGGCAATATTTTAAATAATAGGTCATTCAGACTCTGATACAAACAGAATAGAGTCTAAAAGATGTTTTATTTTGAAAATGTAAAAATGTGAAATTTTGTTAAAACAAGGTTGAAAATGTAAAAATGTGAAATTTTGTAAAAACAAAAAAGTTTGGGGACCGCGGGTATAGATGTAACTTATAACAGACTAATACATGTTTCTACAATTGATTATTATTTGATTGATTTTAAAATGTTCTAATTACTTAGGTCAAGAAACTCTGCTGCATGGACCACACAAAACGGCCTGGCGGGCCACATTTGGCCCCCGGGCCTTGAGTTTGACATGTATGGTTCAGAACCATCTATCATTTTATGGACAGACATTCTGCTTCAATTCTTTAAAAGAAGAAAAAAAGTCAGTAGAGTTTTCTAGAAGGAATTCCTTGTTTTGGCACAGTGTTGTTGACTCATCACACCAAGGTATCTTGGGTGCTTTCCACTGGCAAGTGTAAACACTTTGACAGACATGCTCATTTTAACAACGCAACATCCTTCGGTCGAAAACTTTGTAGCAGCAGTGGATATTGTGAAAAGACCGAAAATTGTCGAATAGAAATGACTTCCCCTACAGCTGTCAGCGAGGCACGGCCAGCCGGTTCATCAAACTGACGTGGTATTTCCCCTGTTTTTTTTCACTTAACAGCGTGGTTAAAAGTGTTATTGCTGTGACCATCGCAATACAGGAGGTTATTTAAAAAATATCCCTTCTTCACCCTGAACGACAGAAAAAGTGCATTCGAATAAACCTGTTTTTGCTAAGATGTAACTGTAACACAATTGCATTAGGGTTGCACTGAATGGTGGGAAAATAAGGAGTTCTGGCATGAATAGTATTTACTCTCCTAACCATGACGAGAAGCACGTTTATCTGGTACAATGAATGGGTTTTTTTTTTCCCCGTTGTAACCCGTGGAGGCACAGCCAACCAATCTGTCGCTACTGCTTCTGATTGACAAGAAAGTGCGACGGCGATGGCATATGTGCCTGTGTGGCATTTCTCAGGATACTACGGTATCCTCCCATAATGAAATACATGGACCAGAGAATGCCGATCTGACAACCAAATCTGACCACAGGTATGATCAGTATGTGAGTGTTGTCTTTTGTGTATATCTGATAACCGACAGGTAAAACTGTCTAGATATGTCCAATCTTGTTCTAACCAAACAAGAGCACGCATTTCGACCAATCGGTTGTCTTATACCAAATAAAGCATGTTATTAATAATAATAATAATAATAATAATAATAATAATAATAAATAAATACCTCAAGGTTAAAATCATTATTGACATATGATCACAGGCTAGATGTGATGGGTTCATGGGCCAGAGGTTTGCCACCCTCAGTCGAGAGTGTACCTCATCCATTGAAAGCTGGGACTGGCTCCAACTCCCAAACGATCCTGCAAAAAATTAGACGGTAAAAAAAAAAATTAATGATCAATCAATGAATGAATACGGATTTTCTCTTTTTCTCATTCATTTTTATGTATAAGTATGACCATGCAAAGGACTGTCCACGGTGATATTTGAAATTCCTGGAAAGACTTATCTCCAGCTCCATTTGACATGCTATAAAACCTCAATTTTCTTAGTTTTTGTTGGATGACAAATGTAGACAATGGTTAATGTGGCGTTGAGGAAATCTGCAGCGCTGACTCATTTCTAGTACACACTTGTGCAATCACACCGTGAATGAAAAATATACAGACACACAGCACAACCCTGGGGCTCCCTGTGCACATCGATATATATTTGGTTAAATGCGGTAACTAACTCTATACGGAGCAAACAACAGATACATGGATTTTAAGGTTTGAGCCATTCGCAGTATTGTTCCCCAAAAACTGGGTTTGCGATTTTTTTTTTTTGGGTCGCTTCACGTCATTTTTCCCAGGAGTTCACAATCATCGCAACAGCTGTCTGCCTCCAACGTCAAAATGGCTGCCCGTTTAAAAGCTCCCCCTGTGGTTTTTTTTCTGGTTTTTTTTTTTTTTTTGGGTCCCTTCACGTCCTGTTTCCCCGGAGTTCCCAATCATCGCAACAGCTGTCTGCCCCCCACGTCAAAATGGCTGCCAGTTTAAAAGCTCCCCCTGTGGTTTTTTTTCTGGTTTTTTTTTTTTTTTTGGGTCGCTTCACGTCATGTTTCCCAGGAGTTCACAATCATCGCAACAGCTGTCTGCCTCCAACGTCAAAATGGCTGCCAGTTTAAAAGCTCCACCTGTGGTTATGTCTCTGGTTTTTTTTTTTTTTTAAATAGTGTATAATTAACAATAGCCTTTGTATTTAATGTTAGCATCCTGTCCTGTCTTTGTTTTTGTAATTAATTTATTGACTATTTTGTTTTTCCGATTTTGCTGGTTCAATTGCTGTTTTTTGTTGTTTCAAACTTGTTGTTCAGATATCACTCGGTCAACAATAAAATATCCTCATTAATGTTCAACAATGCTCAATTTCGTGATTTACGAATACTGTCGATTGACTTGCGTCCAGAAGGTTTGCAACTTTTAAGCAATGGGTCCTGTAAACCATGGGTCCCCAGAAAATAGTTTTTTTCTGGGGACCCATGATTCACAGTCATGGGTCTACGTTTGAATGATTTCTCAAGTACCCATTCAGTTGATACCATCACTGTGTCATATGGTTCTAAAGTGTTTTTTTCCCCCCGCAATCCAGAAAAAATAAATCCTACATGTTGTTACTTTTTTTTCTACAGATTTGAATCCAGATTCTAACTTACAACCTTAACAAGAGAATACATTATAAAGCTTGTATTTCCAATACTAGAAAATAAAATAACAGACAGCTACAGTATACACGTTTAAGACAAGAGGCCAAGAGAGTTTGCATTTACTTCAGTTGTGCTCAGAGTAGCTGTAAAAAAAAAAAAAAAAAAACCAAACCACCAGCGCATTCAATTGTCAGAGAGCCAGTTATTTTCCTCCCCAGACAATGGTGCTCACACGACGGTAGAGCTTCTGAACCAAAATCACACATCGGACAAACTTCTTTCAAAATGACTCCTAGAATTTCTATGTCAAAACTGGACACTTTGATCATCTCTCATAACAGCTCTCAGATATCACTCGGTCAACAATATATATATATATACACACATATATATATACATAGATATATACACACATATATACATAAATATATATATATACATATATATACATATATACATATATATACAAATATATATATACTTCTAATTTTACTCTTTCTCTGCCTGTGGCTTGTGCAAAAACAAAAATATATACACATATATACATAAATATATATATACATATATATATATAATAGCAATTTATAGCAATTTTGCACAAGCCACAGGCAGAGAGAGAGAGAGAAAGTAAAATTAGAAGTGTTAAAAGAAAACACTGGGCTGGTGCAGAGGAGAGAGGCAGCAGAGTTTTTGCAAATCATATGACTTCCAGGAATCACCAGCTCTGCTGTAGTTGTCACAAGCACAGGCTGGATGATGTCATTAGAATCCGTAGCATTCTAGAAGTAGTTGATTGTTGTCCTGGATCACAACTCAGCTAAATCCATGTATTAAAAAACTAGCAGTTAATGCTGGTGGGGGGTGAGGAGTTTCGAGGGCCCCATTATTAAGAGGGGCCCACTA